TCCCAGCACTCGGGAGGCAGAGCCAGGCGGATCTCTGTGAGTTCGAGGCCAGCCTGGACTACCAAGTGAGTTCCAGGAAAAGGCGCAAAGCTACAGAGAAACCCAGTCTCGAAAAACAAAAAAAAAAAAAAAAAAAAAAAATTCATGAACTCACAGTTGCAGTGGTTATCTGCACAAGATTTCTGCAAGATTGGGCCCATCAGTATTTCATCATTGAGTGGAGGATGGACTCATAGGGCCCTACCCTTTGCTGTCCAGTTAATGGTTGCTGGAGGAGTCAAATTCCTCAGGGATGCAATCACTGGTAAGTTGCCCTTGCTCAATCAGGTAAATTAAGTCCAGATTCCTGCTCATACAAGCAGCCCTAAGTAAATGAAGACCAGGACAAAGACAGACACATGTTCACACACAAAAACACACAGACCAGGACACAGACAGACACATATTCACACACAAAAACACACAGACAGACACATATTCACACACAAACACACAGAGTACTAGAAGGACTTATGGAGAAGAGATCTGGTGAGAAGGAGATAAGAGGACACTGGGGAAAAGATGATAAAAATGTATTTAATATATGTATGTATAAATGTATATACATAAATACATATGTATAAAATTGTTAGAGAATCTTAAAAGAATAAGATACACCCCACTCTTAATTCTAGATGCAGATACATAACCAATTTCCATACTGTGTGGCTAAAACTCCGAGGAACACAGGAAGCAGAACAGGATAAATTCAATGCCTCAACAGTGGTCAGATCAACTGCTCTTTGTTCACATTCAGAGCTCCCTGAAAAGTGATAACTCGAAGGACACCTCAAAGTCAAGAAAAGTTTCAGGCAATAAATTCACATTTAACACTTAAGTATAGTTAAGTGAAGGTCTAGAGATAAGAGACACACAAAATCACAGGAAGCAAAGAATCCATGAGACATACTACATTTACTTACAGGATCAACAAAGTCCATATTGAGTCCATAACAGAGTTTCTGGATTCGCGATGTAATTTTGTCAAACATAACTCGCTCTTGGCGGCCATCTGAAGAATCAAACCACAGTGTGCAGTAGCAGTTATTACACTGGCATTATCAAATATTCAAGTGTAATTAACTTTTGAAATTGACCAAAAAGAAATGTTCACTAAGAGATTGTCTTTGGGGGTCTGTGGAGACGGTTCTGTGGTTAATCTTACTAGTTTGGTTGGATTTAGGAGGCGGAAGCAGGTCTTTGTAAATTCAAGGCCCGCCTGGTCTACATAGCAATCTCTAGGCCAATGATATATAGTGCAACCCTGTCTCAAGAAACAAACCAACATTAAAAAAGAAAGAAAGAAAGAAAAAAACTCTCCCCAAAAAATTCAGGGGCAGAGAGATACCACACTCCCACCTCACAAAAGACCAGGAAACTGGCAGGTGACCCTGTGGTGTCCAAAGTTTTTTCTTTCCTTATTTCCTCCTGTGCCCTGTCATCAACTTTGTGAGTTTTGGGGGGGTTTGTTTTGGTTTGTTTGTGTGTTTGTTTGTTTTCGAGACAGGGTTTCTCTGTGTAGTTTTGGTGCCTGTCCTGGATCTCGTTTTGTAGCCCAGGCTGGCCTCGAACTCACAGAAATCCGCCTGGCTCTGCCTCCAGAGGGCTAGGATTACAGGCGTGCGCCACCAATGCCGGGCTTTTTCCCCCCCTTAAGAAATTAAAAAAGACACAGAACTGTTATCAGCTATGAGTCAACTCTAGCCTCAACGATTACTAGCTGAAGGGCTTTTGCGTCAGTCTCTGAAACCTCTTCTGTAAAATGGGGCCAAAAGCCACCTCGGAAGGTGCTCGGCAACAATCCGTTCCGGGAGGAACTCTGCAATGGCGCACCACCACAAAGGCACTTAAGGTTAGAAAGATGGAGGCAGACTGAGCACAGACGCGGGCCCAGCTGACTGACGGGGCGGGAAGCGGCGGCGAGAAGAGCGGGAAAGCCGGAGGGCGGGCTGGCGTGAGTAACCGCTGGGGACTCAGCGCCCGGGCTTCCCTCTCCCTCTCCTCAGCCCCACGGACTCCTCACCTCGCTTGATGACATGCATCGCCGCTGGTGGCTGAAATGCGCTGGTGGCTGAGGTGCCGCGGGGTTCGAGAGCAATTTGCAGCTCCGAAGCGCTGAAAGGACGGCGCCGACGGTCGAATCTGAGGTCTGGAGCAGGCGCCGCTCGCCGAAATGACTGAAAACGCGCGACCGACTGCACTTTCCTCACCAGAAGGGAGGATCATCGAAAATCCGAACTCCTTCCCGTTCCCGCCACCCGTGACGCACAAAGCAGCGCGACGGAATGCGAATGACGTCCTTGACGCTACCAGTGCCCGGAGTTGAATGGGCCGAAAACGAGTAGGCGAAAGTCAGCAAGCCCGTCCCTCGGCCGCCATATTGGGTGTGGGCAGAGTCCCGGAGACTGCGGCTCTCTCTACCATATTGGGTGAAGGCGGACCTGGCGGGAACCGAGTTCTCCTGCCGCCATGTTGGGTGTGGGCAAAGGGAATCTCCGCCCCCAAGTATTTTTCGTTTCATAACCCAGAACCTTTTTTTTTTTTTTAAATTCTGGCAACCCCAAGATTTCGGTCTGGTTGGCGCCAAAGCCTACGCCCCGCAGACCAGAGGCAGCTAAGAGGCCGGGGACTGCACTCCTGAATTGAAGAATCAGGCTAGGCCGCAGGTATTTGGATTTTAGCCTTACAGAAATAGGAGTTCTGCGAAATTTTTAAGCAGGGAGATCCATTTGCTTCTACTGTTTTGTGGATGGTGGTAGAGATTAGGATCAGCACTAAGGTAGTTGTCACCAGATGGTATTAATGACTGAACACGTTAAGGGAAAACAGACATGCAGAAAGCAAGACACAGAACATTCAGTCCCGAGGGATGTCACCATCAAATCCCTCCCCTCGGGACTCAGGAAACCCGCAGAAGAGAAGCCACAAAGAATGTAAGAGCCAGAGGGGATGGAGGACACCAAGGAAACAAAGCACTGGAAATCAAATGATCAAAGCTCATGTGAACTTAGAGACTATGGCAGAATGCACAGGGCCTGCGCAGGTCTGCACCAGGTCCTCTGCATATGCATTATGGCTTCCAGTTTAGTGTTTTTATGGGATTCCTGAGTGTGCAAACAAGTGGATCTCTGACTCTTGTGCTTTTCTCTTGTGATCTTTTCCTTCTGTTGGTTTTGTTCGGTACTGATGTGTTAGTTTTATCTTATTATACTTAACAAATTAATAATAAAGTAAATTATTATTTTCCCTTAGAAGCTTATTTTCTAGTGAGAGACAGAAAGGGGGGATCCAGATGGGAAGGAACTGGGAGGAGTAGAGGGAGGGGAAACTATAATCAGGATATATTATGTGAGAAAAAAATCTATATTCACTGGACCGTCGCGGTACATGTCTTTAATCCCAGCACTCAGAAGCCAGGGGCAGGCGGATCTCTGTGAGTTTGAGGCCAGCCTGGTCCACAGAGTGAGTTCCAGAACAGGCTCCAAAGCTACGAAGAGAAACCCTGTCTCAAAAAAAACAACAACAGCAAAAAAATCTATATTCAATAAAAGGGGAAAAAGAAAAAGGTGAAAAAAAAATAAAAGAATAATGACGATCCCATTTTTATACTTATACAAGGAAGGTATAAAAACTAATCGGGGCCACACAAACTGTCTTCTGTAAAATAATGTATGTGACATTCTTCTGCTAAAACCTTTCACTTGTTTCTTGTACCCTCCAGAACTTGTCCATCTCCACCCACAGCTCACACTGCATAGGAAGTCCTACTTGAAGCTAGAAGACCAGGGTGGTCAGGGGAAAATATGATGTATGTACACAAGAAAGGAATTAGGACATTAGGAAATGTGTCATTTTCTAGAAAATGGAACTGGAGATCATCATGATAAGCCAAGTCCCTAAAGACAAATGTCGTATGTTTTCTCCCATGTGGAATCCAGACCTAAACAGCAACAACCAAAAAAAAAAAAAAAAAAAAAAAAACCTCCACCAAGCCCAGGAGTGGTGATGCATGCCTTTAATCCCAGCAGAGACAGGTGGATCTCTGAGTTAGAGGCCAGCCTGATCTACAAGGCGAGTTCCAGGACAGCCAGAGCTACACAGTGAAACTCTCTCTCTCTCAAAAAAAAAAAAAAATCCACCAAACTTGAGCCAGCCGCCAGAACTCTAGATTGGTACCTAACCCATTCAGAGAGGCTTCCTACAGCAGCTGATAGGACAGATGCAGAGACCCACAGCCAAACATTAGGCAGAGGGAGAAACCAGATTGGAGCTGTCCATCAGGTCCATCGGGTCCTCAGAGCTTGGATAACCCTACAGAAAAGGGAAAGAATTGTAGGAGCCATAGGGGTCCCGGACATCAGAACATGGTCCACAGAATCAACTAAGCAGGGCTCATAGGGGCTCACAGAGACCGAAGTGACAATCACAGAGCCTGCATGGGTCTGCTCTAGGTGATATAGAGATATGTATGTTATGGTTGTTAGCTTGTTTTTGTGGGATGCCTAACAGTAGGAGTGGAGTGTGTCTCTGACTCGTTAGCCTGCCCTTAGGACCCTTTTCCTTCTACTGGGTTGCATAGCGCACTCTTGATATGAGGGTTTGTGGCAAGTCTTACCTTACATGTTATGCCGTGTTTGGCTGATATGCCTGGGAGGCCTACTTTTCTGAAGGGAAATGGAGGAGTGGTTGGGGGAAGAGGGGAGAAGAGGGAAAGGGAAAAGTGTCGAGAAAGGGAACTGAGGTCAGGATGTATTGTATGAGAGACAGACAGACAGATAGGTAGATAATTTTTTAGGAAACTTGAAGCAGGGGCATTATTTGGAAAGAGGAAAAGTGTTAACAGGGTAAAGGTTTCTCCATTTTGTCTCAGCTGAAGCCATCTTTGGTTTCTACCCTGTGGCGATTTGAAAGAAAATGGTTCCCCAAAGGGAGGGGCACTATTAGGAGGTGTGGGCTTGTTGGAGAATGTTACTTGGGGAGGGAATGGGCTTTGAGTTCTCTTTTACTCATATTTCCCTCAGTGTGACTGTCAGTTGACTTCCTGTTACTGCAAGATGTAGGGCTCTTGGCTACTCTAGCACCACATCTGCCTGCAAGCCGCCGTGCGCCCTGTCCCAATGATAATGGACCGAACCTCTGAAACTCTGAGAGAGACACCCCAATTAACTGTTTTCTTTATAAGAGTTGCCAGGGTCATGGTGTCTCTTCACAGCAATAAAAACCCAAACTAAAACATACTCCTTGCCCTGAACAGTCCCATGGGAAAGCACTCAACCCTGTTCTCAAACTCATGGTCCTAAACGCCCAGGCTAACTGCATGTTCCTGGCTCTTGTTAAACTGTTTGCTGGCTTCCCCCTGCAACTGCCAGCCAGAATGTAGTTTTTCTGTTCTTTGTCTTTAAAAACTCCCTGTACTATGCATTTGAGGCTGCTCTGAGAGAAGTGGTTCTCTCCAGGCAGTCACCAACTGGCTAAACACAGACTCTCATTTGGAACTTTGGTGGCCTGAGTGGTTTCTGGGTTTTTACTCCATAACAAAGAGGACACCAATGTGGCAGTGATCCCATACTTGAGAATTGTCTGGAGCCCTGGCAAAATTCTAAAGAGAGACCCCCTCCATACTAAGAGAACTGCTGAGAACTGAGACAATGCAGGCCATCTAAAGCTAGTGACCTCCTCACACTCCCAGAAAAGGTATATTAAACTGTCTCACAGCGAGCTACATACCTTCTTGCCTTGGCTCATAGTTTTCTATAAACTGTAAAAGACGACCAGCATGTTAGAGAAAAGGTTGGAGTTATTTTTTCTCCCTGGTGGCAAAACTATAAATAAATCCATTTTCCATTACTCATTTGTTTCCTAATTTCTTCTGAAATGAGGAGAAACTAAGATGATAGGTTTATGGACCTAAGAATGGATGAGGTTGAGAGGAGGAAGTGAATAATATCCAAGTACTTGCTAGACATGCATGAAGATGCTAATATGAAACTCATATATTTTACTCAATGAATATATGCTTTAAAAAAAAAAAGATAGGGCCATTGAGGCGGTAGTAAGACATTTGCCACCAGGCCTGACAATTGGAATCCAAGCCCCAGGGCCCATATGGTAGAAGGAGAGAACCAACTACCACAAGTTGTCCTCTGACATCCACACACAGGCATATGATTAATAAGTGTACTCCCCCCCCCCTTTAAGATGGCTCAGAAATAGAATTGTTAAATCGGTAGAGTGGCATATACCTGTAATCCTAGGATTTGAGAGGTAGAAGCAGGAGGATTAGGGATTCAAGGCCAGATTCATCTACATGGCAAGTTTAAGGCCAGCCTGGGATACATAAGACCCTGTCCAAAAATTTTTTTAAAAAAGAAAAAAAATAAGACTGAGATTTAATCAATAAAACTGAATCCCAAGTATTGTGTAAGACAAGATTATACTAAAAAATCTTCACCTGAAACTCAAATTTACCTAGGTATCCTATATCCTATATTCTATTAGGTATCTCAGCCAGAGAGTTTCTGGGTATGTGCACTGGAGTTTCATTCACCCCTGGCAAATGAAGAATAGTCTCTTTATCCCTTTTATGTTTTTTAAAATACTTATTCATTTAGGCTGGGCATGGATGCCTTTATCCTGGGAAAGCAGAGACAGGCAGATCTCTGAGTTTGAGGACAGCCTGGTCTACAGAGCAAGTTCCAGGACAGCCTGGGCTACTCAGAGAAACCCTGTCTCAGGAGGGAAAGAAAATGTATTTCTTGTGCCCCTCCCTGTGCATACAAACCACAGTTCATGTGTGGAAATTAGAGGACAAGACTTTCAGATCTGGTTCTGTCCCTCCACCCTGTGGGTCTCGGAGATGGAACTCAAGTCTGTAAGGCTTACTGCAGTGCCGACCCACCGAGCTGCCTCATCAGCCCCTTGTTGTCTCACCAGC